ACGATGTCTGCGCCAGGCAGAGCGATACCTGTTGGTGGCAGGTGTGGTGGAATGTGCCCAGCCACAGAGGGCTGGTCCCTGGGGCACGGTGGGAGCAAATGCACATCTGTGCAGGAGCAGGGAGCGATGGGGATGGGTCTTGAGCTCCCTGCAGATGCCTTTTAGTGGGAATGAACTTCAAACTTAGTGACTGAGTCACCTTCTCATTAAACGTGGGAAAGCTTTATCAAATTAAGGCCACTTAAAAGAGTCTGGGCAGAGGCTAAGTGCAGTTTGGTTTCTGAAGTGGATTGATTCAGCTGAGCTGCACCTATGTGAATTCACCCAGGCGCCCAGGGCACCTCTTGCTCTGCTGCTTGCACCCACTGCGACAGACAACCCCAAAGGGCTCAATCCTGCAGGATGCTCAGCCCCTTGCTCCAGAGCCACCAACCTCGCTTGGGGCTTCGTGGAACACAGCTCCCTTGTGCCCAGCCCTGCCTGCGCCACTGTCTTGTCTGCCCCCCCCGCTCTGTCGTGGTTTGCAATGAGCAGCTCTCAGCGTGGTGCATCGTGCTGCCAGGCTCGCGTCTGCATGCTCCCAAGGAAGTGCTGGGGCCTCATTGATCTGCCAGGGTAATTAAGAGAGTGAGCCAGGCACAGCCAGAGTGACAGCAGCATGGTAATCACTGGCAAAGCGGGCACAGTGGGGTGCTGTCAGCTGCCTGGCACCCAGCCTGCAGAGACATGGCTCTGGGCAGCAAGCATGGGGACAGCTACCTCATAGCCTTCCATCCCTGCCCGAGCAGCAATGTTAAAGATCACAATGGTGGCTGTGAACCGATTCTCGCTAGGCTCCTACAAACCACCCTCCATAGCCCGTTCAGTCGCTATTGCTAAGTGACTTTAAGTTACTGCCCTCACCCCCCGTGCCCCAGCTCATGAGACTGGTTTAAAAACCTGCAAGACTTGATGACTTGGGTTCCTTTTATTAGCTTGTCTTCACATCCTTAAGAGCAAGACACTTGAAGATGAGGGTAAAGGAAAATAGCAGAAAATCCCAGGACTCGGGGAGCTAAGGATTTGCATAAGACATCAAATGAGATGAAGCCTGGGCTGCCATCAGGGGAGATAGCAGCTGCGTGCACTGTGTCGCACCAGTGCCGTGTGTTCTGCCCTCTGGCTTTGCTCATCCGAGACTTTCACACCCACAGGCAGAAAGCCTCTTAAAAGAGCAATGTGCAAAATACAATTCCCCCCAGCATGGAGCAGCAGCACTGGCTTCCCCTGCCTTGCACTGAGCTCTCAGCCTGAAGCATCCCTGCACACGGGTCTCTGGGGCCGGGGAAGAGCATCCCTGCACATGAGAGCTGGGGAAGAGCATCCCGCAGCCCCCTCCCTGGAGAGGGCAGCTCCTTCCGCCCCAGTGGACCCCACTGTCAGAGCAAGCCAAGTACCAGCCTCATGCAGGAGCTGTAGGCAGTGCAAGGTAAGGACCACTCCCTCCCATCCCTCCCTTGCCTTCACACAGGTGGCAAGTGTCACGGGTGGGCAGTGATGCACGGCGGTAGCTCAGCGTTAGTGGCAGAGGTTAAATAAGGCAGTGGGTGGCTCGTGCTGGGCAGAGAACCAGGAGGAGATTCGGGGTGCCAGAGTGGGGCCACCCTCCTTCCCAGCACTCCGCTGCTCCCCAGGTCTCAAAACTGTCACTGAACCCCCACCAAAGCCAGCTCCACTTGGAAAAAGTGCGGGGGGCTCCTTGCAACATCTCCGGGGCTGGTACGGACCCTCCTGGCTGCTGACAGAGAGGGGACACTGACATCTGCCGGCAGGTCCCACCCGGCCCCGCAGCACCCAGGCTCACCCTGCCCAGCCCCGGGACCACAGCGGGGGGCAGCCCTGGTACCCGCCAGCCCTGCTCCAGGGCAGCCTTGGAGGGCAGCTGTATGCAGGTCTCCCTAAGAAGGGGCAGGACAGGGTGGACATTACTGTGCCAAGAGCTGATGCTCTCAAGCCTGATGCTTTAAAGATCCAGAGTTTTGTTTCCTACTGAAAAAAAAAAAGTGTTTAGTAAAGGGAATTGAACCTTGCAGCTGGGGACCCCCTCTCCCAGAGCTGCCGGAGGCTGCTGTCACCAGCACCACGTTGGTAACCACACGCAGCATTGGATATGAGCAAACATCTTCTGACAGGTCACCCGCTCCTCGCCTCGGCCCGGTGCTCCGGCCAGAGAGCCGGTGGCAGCAGGGCCCTGCGTTGCAGCACGGGGGAGAGGAGACCTCTCCTGTTGATTTATACATGCCCAACAGTAAAGTATGTTTGAGCATTTCAGGGGGCATCTCCCCCAGTCCCTGCAGTCCCAGGGCATCTCACACTGGCATGCCTCTCGGTGCACAAGCAGCAGCAGGTTTCCTGCCTCCCGGGCATCTTGTTTACCCCGGCAGCTTGCCAGCACCCGGTTGCAGCGGGCCGGTCGCAGCCCCCCGGACCTGCTGGACCCCGCACTCAGGCACCGGGGTGGCTCCCGCCCGCGAAGGGCTCGTTGCCTTCCTCTACCCCCGTTCTCACCGGGG